TGCTGAAGTTCAGTGGTTTTATGGCTCCTTCCAGAAGCCCAAGACACCTGAGGCTACAGCACCCCCCCCCCCAACCTAGCCAAGCAGCATGACATGGAACCAGACAGCCCAGTCTGGTTCACCATAACATGGTTTGAAGCTGCAACCACCTCAAGAAGCCCCAACCTGGCCCAGTTGCAGCCCCCCAACAACACTCCAAGTTCCCAGCTGCCTTGTACTCCACCATTCCAGCTGGCTTTTACCAGCTTCTTATTCCCCCTGCTGCTGCCCTTAACGAGGCATGGGTCACATGAGGTCTTTTTCCTGAGATCTCTTGAGGAAACCACCATGTGCAACCTCAATCAGAAAGCCTTGGGTGGCCAGCAGCTGCCTAGCAAAGAACCAGGATAGCCATTTTGTCAAAAACTGGAGTAAGAAGATGACAGTGGGGTCAGAAGAGTAAAGGGTGGCAGGGGCCACCAATTTTTGGGACCAAAAGGGTACAGATGGGGGAGTGATGGATAGGTTGAAGCGCTTTCCTGTTTGTAAAGTGTAGGCAGCTGCCAAGACCTAATCTTTGATCATGTGACCACTGGAGTGCTGCAACCTCTATAACTTTGAAGACCATATATAAATACCATTCAGTCAGTATCACTGTAACTTTGGTCACTGAACAAATAGTTAACTTGACTACTTATAACATGAAGGAATGAACCCGTTTCATATTTTCTGTCACTCAATGGTGATTTATTTATTGCCTTCAAATCATTATTGTTGGCTCTTGGTAACTTGAGTAGTCCTCACGGTTCTCTTGGCAAGATTTATGCAAGTTGTTACGCAAGTTATTATTTTCTTCCAAAAGTGAGTAACAGGCTTGAGACCACCCAGTTGAATTCGTACCTAAGGTAGGACTAGAATGCATGATTTCCTAGTTTCTAGTTTGATATCTTAGCCACTACATTAAACTGGCTCTCCAAAGTGCTATAATAACTTAAAAATAGATCCATAATTCACATACCCTCGCCTTAAGTAGTTCTGAATACTCCGATAAACATCATTGAACATCTCTAAATCTTCTTTTTCTCCAAAGAGGATGTATGATTTCAAAAGATACTCATAAAATGAATCTAAGCCTGCTCCTAAACCACTTTGTTTTCCCACCCAATGGCCAGTTTGAATATTCACAACATTACCTGTGGAGTAAGAAAAGAGAAAGAGAAAGGAAAATATTATTTAAATGTAAATGCACATATCTGAATCATAATCCAATTAATCAGGGGACAATAAAATTCCTGTATTTGTACAATAATACTAAATTAAAGAACATCTATTTATGGAACATTCACACAGGACCTAAACATTTAAAACAAGCATAATTTTGAGTACAGTAAAATTACAAGATACAAAATATTCAAATATGAATACTTTTGGATAAGTAAACACCTTATTCACTTTACTTAAATGTATGAAGTGTGTTATATATGACCAAATAACAATCCATATACTTTATTAATATATTTATCTGTGACTCTGAAAGACAATTATGAGTTTATTATTTTAGATTAAAATTTGCAGATAATTCACCACATAAAGAATGTAATCTAATCTTCTTAATATATTTATGCAGCATCAATAGTAATAATAATAAACACAAATATTATTTCACAAGAGAATAAATGAGTTATGGCTGTTTTATATGTTTTGCTTTAAAGTAAAGGAGAAGAACTTACAGAAAGTATTCTTGGACATAAGCAGCAAATCTAGCAGGCACATCTATAACATCACATACATCTATTACATCACACTAGAGATTTTTGATCTGTACAATTACCAATAATATCAGAAAATGAAGATAAAACCAAATTCAAAGCTGCACTAACATTGGACTACATCTAATTTGTCCGCTCCATTGATAAATTATCTAAGTCAGCAGAAGCTTCCATGTACAGATAGACAATTCTTCCTTCTACAGTTCTTTACAGTCAATCACGCACATCTCAACCTCCTGGGAAGGAAAGGCAATACATCATTTAAAAAGATTTCCATTCGATATCAACTTAGAAAAGCTTCTATACAATCACAGAACCTTCCTTTAGCCCAGGAGTCACCAACTTTTCGGACCTCAGGGACTACTAAATTCATAATTTTAAATCCTGCGGACCATTAATATGATCTGCCTAATGGCCAGCTAGTGGACGTGACTAGGTGGTCATGTGACTGGGTGGGTGTGGCCAACTCAATGTCACACCAAGGAACACCTCACCAACTTCTATTTGCCCCTCCCCCCAGCCCCTCCTTGCCTGCCCACCAGGACTCCTTAGGGCCCCTAGAGGAAGCAGTTGTTGGAGCTACGCAGCCATCACGAGAAAGAGTTGGCAAAACAGCTGGCTCAGTTCAAATTGGATCTGACTGAGAAGGAGGCTCAACAGAAGCACCTCACTGATTACTACAAGCATAGGCTTTCCAAGCAAAGGGAAGACCAGTGCAAGACTGGACCGGAGCCTGGAGGCTCAGCTGGGCTGAGATGGTCAGCCAGTTCCAGGCTATGATGCACTCCCACTGGAACAATGCCCTCTGGCTCTTCGCCACCAGCGGCACTTCCGTCTAGCCTTTGCCCAAAGCCCTGTACTAGGAGGCTGAAGCAGCTCCCAAGTCAGAATTTCTGCCCCCCCTCCAACCCACACAAAGACCCCGAAGAGGGAGACTCTCTGCATCAACACAAACATTGACTGCACGTAACCTGCCCAGGGGCCATAGTTTGAGGACCCAATTTAGTGCAATACAAAAATGCAAAAAAATAATAATTCTGTGGACCACCGACATTTTCTTGCGCGCCATGGACCACCAGTTGGTGATCACTGCTTTAGCCAATGGATATAGATGGGTAGAAAGCCTATTATTTAGAGCCTATTATAAAGCCTATTATTCACGAGGCTTTAAAAAAAAACAATCTAATTAGAAACCTTTACATTTAATTTGATTTATCAATCCATCAATTTAAGACAGAAAATATGATTTGCTGAGAACTAGGAACCATATAGTTCTAGCTTTAGATGTGTATTTCAGAACATTCTACATGTCTATGGTTTACTTTCTATTGCATGATTCTCTGTGGCTCATTTATAGCAACCAGACCTAAGGAATGGGTTGTATACACGCCTTGTCATATAGCTTAGGTGATCCCAGAGCATAAAAACCCACTGGCTTTTTCGTTACTTGCAACAATGAGTCACAAAAGTCTTCAGACCTAGATGAGCTGTTTATCAGCTATCTAAATCAGGATGGACAGTTAAGAATTGCTGATGATTGCATCACCTCTTTGCACCTATGAGCTGTTCTGACAGGAAAAGATAGTTCTCATCTGGCATATTGCTAAGTTAAATGAGTCTCTGTGTTTAAGACAAAAAAACAACTCTCTCCATGTCTCACATTTCCTTCTTTTCTAGATGTTGCTTAAGTAGAAAGAGTATTTTCTACCCTGTGTATTTCTTAAAGTAATTATAATTTGTATTGCCGCTGAAGATCAGTACATAATAACACTCAACAGTGTAAATCAGATTACACATATATGAAAAAGGACAAATCATACTCTGAAGTAAATCTTTTACTTTGAAGGTCTGTTATCATATTGAATGTTTGTTAGCATTAACTGACAGTTGGGCTAAATCCATATTCTGAATCCAAGGCAAATAAATGAAAAATACAAATCACAGGAACTTATTCCATTTGATTAGAGGTTCCATTTGATTAGAACTATTTTCAACCTAGTAATATATAAGATAAAGGAGAGCACATGCTATAATGATTAATTTAATATTCCCAAGGAATTGGAATTGTCTAGAGATCTAGTTAATTCAATGGTGAAAGATTCTGCTCTCATATTGATATGAATACAAAGGATCAGCTATCAGAACAAGAATACAAACCAAAAAGTGATATGAATGGTATCCAGGAAAAAAGATAAAGTACCTAGTAACCCAGTGTCATTGCTCCTTAAGTTCCAGAGGGCTTTTACAGCTCGACGGGCAACCCACTCAAAAGTTGAATCCCCAAGAAGCCGACTAAGAATTCCGAATTCCACCAGTAATGATCCAGCCCCTGCAGTGCAAGTCTCATTATTGCTCCCAGAAGGAACTCCTGTCCTTAAGTTCACCTGCAAAGATATGAAGGTTTATAAGCAAGCTTACTAAGGAATAAGCAGCTGTTTTACTGTTTCAAAGTTAGTGATAGAGATTTCATCAGTGTTCTGTCACAAACTTGCATCATATTCCACATAGAAACTATCTTAAAGGCATATCTAGACCATGTCAGCATTTAGCCATCAAGAAATCAGAACACTGAAATCCTTGAGGAAACAGCAATTAATTCAGTATATTTACTACAGAATCTCATTTCCAAAATATATTTAAACAATGGCAATGGCATATTCAGCTTGAGCTTGTAAATAGCACTAAGAGAAAAAAGTATACACCGGGAACATTTTTAAAGGCAAAGTTAAATTCAAATATTTAACATGTTACACCTTGGATTAAAAGACTTCAAAAGAATTTCCTTTGCCTGAAAATTGGCAATTGTTGTACACATACCCTTGGATAAGGAATTCCAGTTTTGGTATTCTCAAAGGCAGGTAATAACCTTACTGCCAGGTCATGAGCCATATGCAACAGTTCATCATCATATCCCTTAATAGTCATATCACCAAAAGGCTGTCTTGTATCTGTAATTATTATGTGGGCTGAAAGCAGACTTCCCAAAACCCTAAAAGAAATTATATTGGTTATTATTTTAAATGAGACAATATATGTGAATATTATAGCAACAGAAATAACAGAATTATGATCACCCTTATAACCACACATATTAGCAATCAGGCAAAGTATGTACAGTCTATATCAGCAGACTCAACACAACAATAAGATGTTTTTAAAGGCAGAAAAGCATAATAAAGCAATAAAAATACCCTAAAAGTTATTGTGTCTTTCTCTAATCTCTGAAAGAGCATGAAACAAATCAGGAATCTCCTAGAAAGATAATGTTTGATAGAACTGGCTCTAACTTATGTCAGAACAATTGAAGACTTACATTGCTACAAAAGATAGCTTTTTGAAAGAACTGCAAGTTGGTTTTGGAAGAACTTACATCTTCTTGGAATGGGAAAGTGATAAGAGACAATACAGTATTGCTTTCATTTGTTCCTCTTATTTGTAACATAAATGTTCTTGCCAGCATTACATGTTCATTAATGTATATTTCTGAGAATCAATATTTTTAATCGCAGTGCAATTTCTCTCCCCTTTTATTTTGTCTGACAAATTGTAGCATTCACGGTTCATGCTTTATGAGTCCATGTTCTTTTTTTACTTTACTTTTTGGGGGGGAGTGGTTTAAAAATGACATTTCAGATTTCACTTTCTAAAATACAAGTGTTTATCGGTGATGCATACCTCAGGGTTTCTACTTCTATCCTTACAAGATTCAATTTAAAGCTTCCTAATAAATCTGACCAGATATTGTTTCATCTACAATAATAATTATTCAGTTTCCTTATCTCCTTTTTAAAGGTGAAGAATTACATTGCCTTTGCTCATTCTTCAAAATTTCTCAAAGATTACAGGCAGTTCAGCAAGGTCCTTCAGTATTTACGAATGTAATTCATGAATTCTAGGAGATTTAAATCCATTCAAAACAAGTATTTCTTAATCATAAAGTTCTGACTTTGTCCCTTAATCCTGCATTTCATAATTGCCAGGTGGAATATTTATCATTTTATTGGATAAAACCGGGTCAAATAGGAGAGCAAGAATTTATTATGATTTTAATGAGTAGCTGCATTAAAAGAACTAGTCTTAAATTGTAATTTATAAACTATTAATTATACACCCAAGTTACTGAACCATAATATGAATTGCTTTAAATATATCATTTTAAGACATTGATAATATAAATTTCATCAGTTAGACAGCAAGCAGAGTAAATTTTGTTTCAGAGTTTCTTGAATGTATTATTCACATTCAGTGTTGTCAAATTTCAGCAACATCCTACCTAATTGTTGCCTCAAAGACTTGGACAGTTGAATCTGTGTCAAATGTTACTGTGTCTATCACAAGCTTCACTGCTTTCCGAAATTCTGAAGAATTTCCCATTACCTTTTAAAAAAAGAAAAAAAGACCTGAAAAAATTCTCCACACATTTTTATACCAAAATTGTTAAATTTGAAATTTAAGTGTCTGTAATTGATGTCCTATAAATATAAAAGCAATTCACTCTTATGACCACAATTAAGGCCAGAATTTGTTTGTTAAGTCAAGTCACTACATGATAGGACTCTATTTTATGGTGGCAATAAAAGGAATCACATGACTGCAAATTCCATGATTAAGCAAACCATGTGGTAGGAAATCCTAATCCAGCTTTATCCAATGAATTTTTTTTAGGTGGTAAATGGCAAAAAAAAGTCACAAAACTCGATCACATAACCATGGGACGATGCAACCAGTCGTAAATATGAACTGGTTGTCAAACGCCTGGAATGCAATCACATGACTGTGGGGGTGATGCAGCAGTTGTAACTTTGAGCATGGATCATAAGTAACTTTTTTGTTTCCGCCATAACTTTGAATGGTCATTATTAAACAACTGGTCATAAGCCGAAGACAATCTATATTTCTGTTACAGATAATAGTGGACCCACTAGGTTAAACAAAACAACAGAGAAATCAAGTGTTAATGTACAAAAAACTGTTTTAACTTGTAACTAGCGACAGAAGAGAAGTGAAGGGGGAGAGAGGCAGGGAGAGAGGGGGAGAGAGGCAGGGAGAGAGGGGGAGAAAGCAGGATTAAATGCATAACATGTATTTTAAAAGTATTTAATAACGTGATAAAATATTTAGTGATAGGCATACAGCTAGAACAGACTTACTAACAACATTGATGTTAAAAAAACATCAAATTATCAGCTTGCAATAAAATCAATGATTTCCATATGATTTAATCGAAGAGCTGGACAAATCTGTCAATTTCAATTCACTATTCCTGCTTTTAAGTGCTTTCTTTTTTCAATCTCTGCATCATTATGCTTTTTTTTTAAAAAAAAAAAAAGTCCATACCTACAAAAATTATGCAGTTATAAACATTTGCCCTAAAACATGAACTTTGGGTGATATTTTTCTTAATGTTTCTATAAACAACATTCCCTTTAATAATTAAATGGTCCTTATGTGTGGTTTTATTCCAGTCAAAGAACCATAGATAATGAAACCCTGAAAAAAATGTATACAGTACATGCAAAGCCTGTCATTTTTTCAGAATTACATAGTAGAGTTGGAAGGAACCTTGGAGGTCTTCTAGTCCAACTCCCTGCTTAAGCAGGAAACACTATACATAAATGGCTGTCCAATCTCTTCTTTAAAACCTGGAGCACCTAAACTTCTGGAGGCAAGCCATTCCACCTATTAATTGTTCTTACTGTAGGAAATTTCTCCTTAATTCTAAGTTGGATCTCTCTTTGATAAAACTCCCATCCGTTACTTCCTGTCCTGCCCTCAGGTGCTTTGGAGAATAGGTTGACCCCCCCTTCTCTGTTAACAGTGCCTCAAATATTGGAAGACTGTTACAAAAAAAAAAAAAAACAGCTGCAGATAACTGAAATTTTTTACCACAATTTCCAAAATATGTTGTATTTTTAGCAATCATAGATAAACAAAGTCATGGGCCATGGAACCACAAACGCCAAGGGCCACCTGCATAGTTTTGCTGTTACAACTACACATTTCTTTATGACAAATATTTTGTTGTATTATTTTTGTTCATATAGCTCCATCACAAAACCTGGAAATCTATTAATGTAAAATACTAAATGTGCCTTAGTTGAGAAATATAAAATGATTAGCTTTACCTTAAAATATGAACTGAAATAATTTCTCCCCTATCCCTGCTAGCAAGGAAAACAAGAAAAAACAATATATTAAAATAAAAACTACCTAATAATAATAACTACCTCTGTGTCAAAACTTTTGAATTGTAAAATATGTGATTGCTACAAACGTCTCTACTCCTTAAATCTGTGGCATGCAGAAAAGAATCTCTTCTTGCTTAAGCCTACTTCCCAAGCCAAGCATGAATGGGGGAAAAAATCCACCTTCCAATTACAGGCTAAAGAAAAGGATCCTCTCATAATCTTGCAAGATCAGGACTGTTGTCAATATTGGCCTAGAAAAATATTCTTTAGCAATTCTCAAGATTACAAAACTGAGGGATTAGGCACTTGTGTTAATGAAGATATTTTTTCTGAAATTTTGATATATATTTTTCTGATAGTACTTGTTTTTCCTTTCAGAAATTATAAAAACAGATTTAACTCACTGCTAGGGTATCCAATGCATCAATCAGAGTAAGCGAGTAGTTTCCCAGGACATCGTTGATATTCAGATTTGAACTGAAATAGATTACATTAGAGTTAGTTCAACCAAATTTAAGTGATACAGCTTAAATTATTAACTGGAAGAACATCCCAAAGAATTTTAAGGGAAATATTCTTAAATAAGGGCATAAAAGATTGCAGCTGCAGCTACATAGCTTAAACCAAATATTAACACTTTCATAGTTTATTATTTACTAGATTTTTATCCCATCTTTATTTCATAGACAAACTATGTTTGGAATTGTATATTAATATCATGGTATGAAACTTAGAAAACAAAGAAGCTGGGGCTTATTTCCACTGAAGTTTTAATTATGATTAAAAGGAGTATTCAAGTGAATTACAGTAGATTCAGCAAATCTGATTTTAGAAACTGGATACATATGGTATTTTAAACAATAATCTATTATTTATATCACAACTAATGTAGCCCAATATATTAAGTATTGGACTCTACACAAGGTGATTTTAGCCAATGATCTATAATTAATTATAGTAGTCTATGAATGGTTTTTTTTAAAAAAAATGGAGATACAGTTAATCTATGATAATTCTATGAAAAATATAGAAAAACATGTCCTAAAAAAAAAAAAGACAGTCATCCAAGAACACTGGGGATTTTATAATACCTAGACAAATTTTAAGTTTGCTTCAATGTTTCATTATTCTAACAAGATAACACCATGAACACTGTTAAAAGATACAAGATTATATAAACCAATCTTTGAAAATTAGAGATTACAGAAATATTTCCCTATACAACATGTATCATTACAGTGGAATCTCCAGTCATGACCGTAATCCGTTCTAGGACTTTGGTCGCAACCCAATTTGGTCATGACTGGGAAGCAAGACTGACTGCACATGTGTGGACACAGGAAGATCGCTGTGGCTGTGTTTGATCGCCACCCGAGGATATGTTCGCAACCAGATGCAAAAATTTTCTGAAATTGGCCGTCGTCCCATTTGGTCACGGTCAGAAGTGTTCGTGACTCAAGGTTCCACTGTATATTCATACACACACACGGGGGGGGGGGGGGAGCGGGAGAGAGGGGGTTTACCTGCCTAATGTATTATGATAATTACAATAATCTGGCTAATCCTATAATCAGATTAACCTAGGCTATTTGGAAAAAATGATTGCAGAAATCAGAGAACTGTACTTCTTAATGGCACATGTTTGAAAATAGCCACAGTTATAATATCTAAAAGATTAGCATGGATAACATTGACAGCACATTATATTACTTTATTTCTAATAAAAGTTCAAATTTATACTGACAAAATGCACTTCTAACAAACAGCCAGGTTTTTGAAGAATTTTTAATAAATTCAAGTCCAGTACGAATATGTATAAATCTGAATGAACAGCTTTCCACAATTTTTGTTCAGATCAAATATGAATGTCAACCTCACATTATTTCTATATGTAACCATTTGTGTCACATAACTGATTCCAGACAACTGATGTATATTATTTCCATAAAAATAGTTTTATTAGAAAAACTGCCATTTTGCCAATATTTTCTATTTAGAAACTGTTCAAAATCTGTAGCAATCTGAGAATTCATGGCTTATATAATTGGAAAGGAAAAAAAGAGCACTTTTTTTACAGATAACTACCATAACTAATATTTCTCAATGGCCTGTATTGGGTCCAGTACTTTTTAAACTGTTCATGAACCATCTCTAAAGTTAAGGATGAATAGTGAGAAGGCTACATTTTGGTGATGGCTTTAATGTTTTAAGATTACTAAAAGCAAAAAATAACACATAGTTTCAGAAGAATATTTCAAAGCTGCAAATAAAATGGTAAATGAATATCATTGTTACAAAATAAAATGGAATCCATATGGAAGGAAAAATTAATATTATATTCTTCCAATGACCAAGTTGCTTAAAGTTCTATTTAGAAACTGTTCAAAATCTGTAGCAATTACATAACACAATGAAAACTGTTGTGCCAATTGTGTATGTAAATTCTACATGGGGAACATTAGAAGAGACACTAAAAAGGCTGTCAATATTATATGCATTATAGATTATAGCAAAAAGATTTTACAGCTGCTAAAAGTTAAGAAAAAGGTAGCATGTGTAAAAAATATATTAAAAAAAAGAATGCTCTATTCTCATATATGATGTAGCAAAATTTAGAAGCATCCAATGAAGTACAGAGGCATTCAGGATTGTTAAAAACAATCATACTATGTCCGTTAAACTACAAAATCTAATAGTGCAATATGTGCTCACTTTAAAAAAGGATTACATAACCATGGAGAATAAGCCTATGTTGAACTAGCAATTATCAATAGCTATTTTTCATTAGAGCAATATTCATTTTCTGGAAGTTTTGCTTCAATTCAGCAGTTCCAACAAAGATGACTTCTATGAATGTACTCACAGGAACAGCTGTTAAAGTGGACATATCAACAAGGACAACTACTTAAATCATGAATGCTTTACTCACGATGTTGCTGTACTGATAAAATTATTACAAGTAACTTACACGGCCCTATTGGTTAAGATGGATTTTATACACATACATGTGTATACTTTATCCCCAATATCAATGCCAATTGTTGGGAACTGCATTAAGAATAGCCTATTGCTCCCCAAAATGTTATTTATTATTACTATGATTAGCAATTCTAAGAGAAGTTTAGATAGAAGAATTATCCATCAGGGTTTTTATTATATTCTCAGGTTGGCATTATTTAGAAAAGAATACAGTATTTTTAAGATGTCATAAAACTCGTTTCTAAATCAACTTGCCCAAAAATATACACAATGAGACATGTCCCCTTAGATTAGTTAATCTAGAAGGTGCACCACATCATACACCTGTAACTATTCAGAAGTAATCTGAGGTTGATTATAATGTCTGTAAGAGACAGGCATACAAAGAAATTATTAGTACTTTCAAAGCAATAAGCTTAGTATTTACACCTGAGAAAGATTCCTCTTGGGAGGAATGAAGCAATGCTTATGCAATTTTCAAGCAGGTCAAGGATCTTTAGAAGTATAAACAACATGTAAAATATGATCAACAAACTCAACATAATTCTGTCAGATGCTGGACTATACAATCTAATAAAAGAAAAGGGATTTGAAAAAGACTCCATTAAATCATGGTTGTCACCCTCTATTAAATCCTTCACATACAGCGTCAAAGAAGTGGAATATTTCAGAAACAATAATTATGTTTTATTATCACTATCATAACCTTTCATCTGTTCATATCCTACTAATCTTGCAATACTCCACACATACTACTGGGGACCTTTTTTGTTATTTTATTTATACCCTTGTCTTTTTACCACTGGGGACTTTTATTGTTATTGTCAGCCACCTAAATCAGGGCATTTTAATTGTTCTTATATATGCAATGAATAGTAATGAACTGGAAACCCATTAAGCACTGAGATGACTGAATCAAAAGGACAAAAACTATTATTATCTTTTGGAAAGGTACTTTCAATGTACCTCCTCACATAATTAACTCGGTAGTTAATTTTCTTTTTAAAGCCAAATCTGTAAATTACCGTATCACAGACACTCACTGTCCATTTAACTTACAGGCAAGGAGGCAGCTACCTCCCCTACGGATGCTACTAACCCAATGCCTGTTTTTTCCACCTCTTCTCGCCAACCACATCCCATGTCCCGGACACAAGCAACCGGGGCTGGAGGGAAAGCGAGAGCCAAGGCGGTAACCTCTACCCGCTCGGCCACTTCAACGCTTCCGAGCCCGGCGTGTCAACTTACGGGTCGGCTCGATCGGGCCCGCGGCCCTGGCAGTGGATGGGGTTCAGCTCGTCCTGAGGGAAAGCGTAGGCCATGTAGTTGTCGTAGCCGAAAGAGAACATGCTGCGGGCGGCGTCGCGCAACTGGGACCGGAGATCAGAGGAGAAAGCCCGGTTGTAGCGCTTCTCATACTCGTCGCCGCCGCCATTGCGGCGGGACCATGAGGAAGAAGCAGCGGCCGGGCCAGGGCTCCCCCGGCCGCCGCCGCCGCCGCCTCCCTTATCGCCGCCGCCGCTATCGCCTCCCCATGCTCGTCCCAAGAAAGAGGCCCAGTGAGGGGCTTTGAGACACCGCGAGCCAGAGGAGTCTCCTTCCTTGGCCGGGCTGCCGCAGGAAAAGGCGCGGAGGCGCTGCTGGTAGAAGCCGAAGCTGGGCCCCGCCAGCCACAGGAGGGCCTGCCCGGCCAGTCTCAGGGCCAGCAGCGCCAACACCAACGACCGCCATTGCATGGTCGGAGGAGTCGCAGCCGCCGCGCTCTCCTCTCACGCGCATACTTCTCGCGGAAGTTGTGCTTAGAACGCTCCGCGCCTGGGGAAGCGCGGGCGGGGCCCGTAAGCGAAGCCGCGACGCGCCTCCTCCTCCAACTCCGCCTCGGCCCCCAAAAGATGACGCGTCTCCTTTAAGAGCGAAGGCTGTGACATACGGCCGCGGGCGGAGAGAAAAGACAGGGTTTGGAAAGGAAGCATTGCGACACTTGGCGTTTGGATTTCCCATAGGCTTCCGACCGAAGAGCGGACGGATGAAAATGACGTCAGCGAAAGGTGATTGTCGCCGCCGACTGCGTGTGGGAAGGGCTTCAGACGAGAAAGAGTTGATGTGGCGCTCTGCGATTTTTTTTCTCCCCGGCACGGTTTAGCCAATCAGAAAGAATGGGTTAGTTTTTTGGGCGGAGCGATATCGCTGCACCTTTGCAAGATTGGGGATTGGCTGGCCTTTCGGCTGCTGCGTCGCGGGGGGGGGCGAGGGCGGGGATTACAAGTTTAGCTGACCGACTCTGTAGTCTCTTCCCCAAACCCCAAAAACTTTAACCTTAGACTGTCTACCATTGACCTCACCACTTTCCTAAGAGGTCTGTAGGGGGCGTGCATAAGCGCACCAACGTGCCTACCGTCCCTGTCCTATTGTTTCTCTATTCTTTTATTTTTCTTATATGTACCCATCTCATGTATTCACAACTATGTATACACTTATTATCTTGTAAACAATTGACAAATCAAATAAATAAATAAATAAAATAAATCTGTCTCCCCCCCCCCCCCCCCAAAAAAACCCCTTGGTGCCAACTACACGCTTTGCCACCTATTTCCGTGTTTTCACTACACTAATCGTTTTTTGGTTGGTTGCCATCAAGGCGTTACCAACCACGTGGGTAATTTTTTCTGGATGATGCATTCCTAATCTGACCCTTCAGGTTTTTTGACAGTGCATCCATCGCTATAATAATAAAGAATTCGTCCTCTTCGTCCATATTGCAGACCGTGTCTTCTGTCTTGTGTATCGCATTTTCATGAGGACAATGAGATGTTTCAGGATTCCCATTTTTCCAAGGACATTCTGCCTTTCAATGTGACACAATCAAAACACTTATCTATAATCAATGAAATAATGTGGAGTATTCCTTGACTTTCTGTATCACTTAGTGTACATCTGCACTAATGTCTCTGCTTTTTCTAAAACCGGCTTGAGCATCTGCGATTTCTATTTCCATTGGAGGGCTCTAAGAATATGCCTTCAATGATCATAGCTGTTATGTCAGATCTGCTTCAGTCCTTCGCTTTGGTGCCAGCCTGCCATAAAATGTGGTGAAGGGGAATGGGAAGATAGGGAGGGGGGAATGACAGGAATCAGGTGCCATCCAGAAGCAATGGTTGAAAGATCCAAGGACACAACCTTGGGAAAGGAATGTGAAACCCATTCAAAGAGGTGCCAAAATGTGGAACTGTTACCAAAACACCTAGTTTGAACCTTATTGGACACCACCAAGATGTCCAAGGTGGGGAGGGTCTGAGAGAAGGGAAAGTTACCTAGGTTGTGCCCGAAATCCTCAGATCTGGCTTTGCTACTTGGCTTCAGTAAAAGTATACCTCTCACTACAAATGGAGTCAATGGTCTTTCTTTCCTGAATATCTAAGCTGGGACTGGCCTGACACATTGTTTTTTCGCTACCATGTGAAATTAAAAATTCATGATAGCTTGCATCCTCTGCTAAGTCTCCTTGTAGTGATATTAGACTGACCTCTTCCAATTCGATGGGCATTGTGCCATCCTCCAGCTCTGCTGGCAAAGCTTGCTTAGAGTCCTTATTGAAATATTGGGTTGTTTGGCAAATTTCTGTGGGTATTCCATTACTGCCTATAGCCTTCTGACTTTGTGATGACTGGTATAAATTAATTTTCTAATGTTAGAGGTTCTTGTAAGGAGATAATATCTTCTAAAATATCTTACATATTGGCATTTCTACTGTACATAATTTCAGTATATTCCTTCTATCCCTATTTGATCTTTTTGCAATCAGTTCTACCTGTCCATTGCTATGCTTTAGAAAATCTATTTGAGTTTGAAACCTTTTGAGGTTATAGATCTTTTGAAAGACTTTCTATGTTTTTCCGTATCTGTTTCTATCTTCTGTGTCTTTACAAAGGTCATTTTAAAGTTGCATCTTATCTTTTAATGGCTGTCTGTATAATCACTTTATCTTGATAAACATACATATGAGTTATCACAACACCTTCCTATACTGTCTGATGCCTGATATAGGGTGGCTGCCTGCTTTAACAGAGGTGGCCTTCATGTCTTGGGAACCAGTATTCTCTGCTTATCCCACACAGGAATACCCACTACCCTCCACTCCCAATAATGAGGCAGCATAGCAGGACTTGATGGAGGAAACTAAACAATTAAATGAAGCATTAGTTCTCAGTTTTCTTTCGTATTCCCAACATGCATAAATACAAAGTTGTGAGAAATATCTATTTTTCATTAGTTAATCACATCTTGGATGTATACCAAGTACTACAGGTATGAAGTAGTATATGAAATTGCTCTGTAGATCTGTAGTTTATTTACTGTTGAAGAACATAACATGCATTCAGCTTCAGAAAATAACTAGAACCTGCTTGTAATTTTACAAGAATAATATGACTCACATAACTTGGGGTTCTTTTTTGGGTGGGGGTGTTCAATGTCGAGAATACTTAGTCAGCTTGCATTTAGTTTTGTTCTATGAAATTCAGCAGCAAAACCATCGTTCCTTTTTAAGAAGAATCATTTTTGAATTAAGAAAGCCCTCAAATTTCAATTAAACATTTACATTTAATAGCACATGAGAATTCTTGTGGATTATGAGTTACAGGTATGTTCTTTTCAATTTTGGTTTGAGTTTGCCTATGTTTTTTTAACAGGAGGCAATGATAAAGCAAAGAAAAATCATGCACACTAAACCAAATATCATAAGCAATAATTGCTAAAATGAAGCCCTTATTTGAGGGGGAGGGAATGAACCCTCAATATTAGAACAGCTGACAATTGTTGCAAGTTTTGAATTTCAAGAAATTTGTTGGAAAAGGATGATGACACCATAATGACCTGTATGATGGAGAGCCTTCATATTGGGTCTCATTAGATCCAATGGTATTAGATTATGCTCATTAGATTTTCCTACGCCTAGTTAGGAAGAACAAAAATTTAAATATTCCATTTCTGAAAATATAAATTCTAGTTATTAAAAACCAATGCTTTGTATAAAAGTGGCTATAAACTGGGAATAAAGATTGCTCAATTTTTATTTTATTTATCTCTTCCACAAGGTGACTTTGGATGGATTCTAAATAGTATGAGGTCTTCTTCTGCTCAAGCAGGGGATTGGATAAAAGACTTCCAAGGTTCCTTCCAGCCTTGTTCTTCTATGTTCTAACTATAGAAGATTTATTCCCTGAATGCTTATTTTATTTATCTTTTTAATGTGATGCACAAGGACTGCCTTAATTACATTGCTCATATTATATTACACAAATGCATGAAAGATATCTGCTTCTGCTGTCTACAGAATATCATATACAAAGCACAAATCATTGTTCCACAAAGTCAAGAGTACATATAAATAAACAATAAATTAATATTCCATAGTTTTGTTTGAAGAAAACTTCTCCCTTCCTGCTTAGGATTCTGATTTTGTTCAGGGTGGAAATGACTTGATTCCCTGATGGATTCTCTAGACTGAAAAGAGGAAGTTGTCCTGCTTCTACCAGATTTCTCAGCATTTGTCACATCAATCATGATATGCCATTGCTTAAGATGCAATAATATTATAGCAGTTCCCGATTTTCAGTCAGCACCCAAAATAGTAGCGGTTATTTTGTTTCACTTCTCAGCATTTGATTTGTGGAGTACCATACAGCTTTTATTTTATCTGTGTTGTTCTGCAATATTGTTACAAAACTTCAGAGAAAATTATCCAGAATATAACTACTCCTCCGTCTCAAGGAAGAACTTTATATAATCAAGGGGTCTTTAAAAGATTTTGTTTCCTAGGAAACGAAGGATATCTAAGAAATGTGGGTATGCGTTGCTGTATGTTGGAGCATACTGTAGGTCGGGTCCCCGTCTGTCCAGGGACTGGCACCGGACCATGGCATGCCAGAAACCAGGCCGGGCAAACAAGTGAAGCCCCATCTGCAGGATGCAGGCAGCACATGAAACCATGCCCCCTTCATCCATGGAAAAACCTTTCTCCACAGAACTGGTCCTGGGTGCTCAAAGGGCTGCTGCTGTAAATAGTCCCTAGCAACTATTTGAAGCTACAACAGAACACACACACAGGGATGGGCTTCAAAAATTTTAGCAACTGGTTCTCTGCCCAGTTGCTGGGTGAGCGAAGCCATGGTGGACGTGGCCTAGTCGGCTTCCTGCACCACAGCGGTGGGGGGAGCATTTTCGCTCTCCCCAGACTCTGGAGGTTTTCCTCAAGCTTCCAGGAGGGCAAAACAGCCTCCCCTGGGCTTTGGAGGCCCTCTGGAGGCCGGAACTTCTGGGAGGACTGTTTTTCACCTCCCCAAGCCGCTGTGCAGGCCCTGTACTTACCTGGCATCCAAAACGGGCCACATGAGGAGTCCTGGGAGTGGAGGGCGGGGACAGCCAGGGGTGGGATTTGCAAATTCGCTGAACTGTGCAGAATCTTAGCTAGAGGATCGCCCGAACCTGTGCGAACCCACAGCAGCTCACCCCTGCATGTACACACACACACACACACAAACACACATACACACACCAAAAAAGCTACGTAAGATCTGGTTTCAAAATTCTGATGTTTATTCTCACCTACCCTAGTCATACGACATTTTGGGCACATGGCAAACAGCCCACATCTATGGTCATTTTCAGGTTATTTGACCATGATTTTACATTGGTTTTGTCAGAAACCAGTATTTGCTTCCTGTTTCTGGCAAAAACTGTCCCATTGCAAACAATGGGTTTGCTTAATGACTGCTAAATTTACTTAACACTCACCACAAAAATGTCATAAAATCAGGTCTGGTCACTAATGATCCACTTTACAACCTGCTTTACAACTGCAATTGCAGGGCTGATTTATAGT